GCACATAAAATGAAATTTTCAGAAGTGATTGGGGTCTGTGTGGAGGGTGCACATAAGAAATTTAATGTGTGTATCATTGCACGTTTTGCAATTAATTCTGTTTGGCTTTACGTGTTTTTTTGGATTTTTATTATTGTTTTGCCGCAAGATTGGCAGTCCTGCCTTTTACTAATAAATAAACAGAAACAGCTGGCGAATGTTTACAATTATTAAAAAACATTGACAACAACATTGTGTGTTTTTTCCAGATTTAATTCAATCGATTTGCTACATTTATTCGAAAAGAATACTTTAGAAAATGCCTCCACTACGCAGACGTAATACGGTTGGCAGGCATACGCGTGATTCACATCGAATGTCAATAAGGAGAAGAAATCAAAGCGAAAAGCAACGCGCTCAAGTGAATGCCCGAGGTAGAGCGGTGTACAGAGAGCGGCGTGCACAGTTTAGAGCTGAATCCGCAGACAATCAACGGCCAAATTATCGCCAAGGCAGAGTTCCGCTTCGTCTTCGCGATCAAATGGAACATGTTGGCTTTCACTACGATCCTGACTGCGACTACAGCCTGCATGGTTCCATTGGAGCAATGGATATTATTTGTACGCATTGCAATGCAGCGAAGTTTCGAGGAGAAACAGCTGGCATGTGCTGCTCCGGTGGCAAAGTGAAACTGCCTGCATTGGAACCGCCACCAGAACCACTACATTCCATCAACAAATCGCAAGGGCAAACGTTTCGAGTGTGCGGCGTCTATTTGGAAGAACCGTGCTTCTCCCACGGCCAATTGTATGTCGCATGTTCGAGAGTGGGAACACCAAGGTGCTTATTCATTTACGCGCCAGGTGGAAAAACCAAAAATGTTGTATACTAAAATGTTATATAAATAAGTAATAGTTTTACAACAAGAAATAAAACACAAAGTAAAAACCCTTAAGAGTTTTAATCGATTTAGGTGTAGCGAAGTGCACCGGGTAAGAGCTAGTGTATGTATGTAATTGTGCGCTTTTTTTGTGCATACTAAAAATGTGTAGGTAAGCAGCAAGAGGATTATGTGCATAGCTATCGCGATGCCTACGGCCCATCTATTGCTGTCGATACGCTTGTGCATGCTATTGGGCCAAATTGTGGAATTGCCAATAAATTTGCTGCTGACATATCGTTTGCATATTTCATGTTACATTTTTGTACATATGAATGTGTATGTGTATACCGCCTGCAATGTTTTTCTTCATCGATTTTGCGCATTTTTAAAATAGATTTTTCTAACAATAGTTGAATACACATATGTAAATACAAATTTGTGTGGCATATTGCCGCATTTGCTGGCGGAAAACCCAAAGGAAAGCAGGAGACAATGCAAGTATGCAAATAATGATAAAATAATCCAATACCTGCATGCACCATAAACATCTGTTGTTGTAAGATTAACTTTCCTTTATCTTAATTGCACTATGCTGGCTGTGGAAAGCGCCAGCGCTCAGTGCCGTGCTGCCTTAGTGGGCAAAAATCGCAAGATTCCTAGTTGCGATGTGAACGTGTTTGGTACTTTTGTAAAGGTAATTTATCGACTAAAAATAATTATATCGAAATTTCACTATGAAATAAACTATGTATGTATATGCCGCCAGCAAATCACTAATATGAAGAAATTTAGTACTAAAGGTCGTTTTCTAGACTGTCTGTTAAAGTTAACCGGTGCTTTGACGGCTCGTCAAATTCTTTACTCATATGCATTTAACAGGCAGTCGGGAAGATAAATTTAACAAGCAGTCAAGAAAACGGCCCCAACATATTTACAGGGCAATTCTGGCAACCGTCTTTTAACTGACCGTATTATTTCGAAAAACAAAAGTTTTTAAGAAAGTTTAAATAAAAAATAGAAAGTTATTAAAAACGAACCAAATAAGTTTGCTAAAAATTAAATGAAATGCATTTTTTTTTTGTAAATAATATAATTTAAAAAAAAAGTATGATGGAGCTTGATGCCGCTATTAATAAAAATTTTTTGTGGAAAAACAAGAAAAAATATAATTAAAGCAAAAAAAAAATAAAATAAGTTAATAATTTGTTTAAAATTTCTTTAATAATTTTCTTGTTAACTATACACAGTTTGATTTTTTATTATTTTTTTTGAAATTTAAATGGTTTTCAAACTTTATGGAGTACACTCTAAAAATTTGAGATTGGAGAAATCAAAACTGTAGAAGTAGCGAATTTTTTCATGCCTGCGTACATATTTAAAGTTTTAGCGCGCAGGCATGCACTGCCAGTGCTAGCTACACTTGACTGAAGCATAACGGACATTTTTCTCCGAGGTTTTTGAATATCAAGATGGAATAAAAAAAGAGGAGTCTTCTGTTTTTGATAAAAATAATGCACATAAAAAAAAATTTTGAGGTGCAAATTTTGCATGGAATGACCCATATTCAAAGTTTGCTACTTATGTTCGTAAACATAATAACTTATCTGTATATGACAGGCGCGGATCCAGGCGGTGATTTAGGGGTGCATCTTTTCATGTATTTAACTTTTTTATAGTTTAATTAAATTCAACTTTACAAATAGGTGGCAGCCCTCTTCCGAATACCTGTTTCGTTTGACACCCATATTGTGATGCATATTTTAATTATTAATTAATTAATATTTATTCCCCTAATTAAAGTTGAATTTTATTAGATAGCTGGCAACTTTTTTCCGTGCAGTTTAATGGTAAATGGTTTTGAAAAAGGTAACCATTTCGAGTGATACCCATATCTTATATATAAATAGGCAATCATGTTAACTTTACACACCTTTTAATGCTAAACTATACTTCTAAGGTATAAACAATTATATGTATATCATTAGAAAGGAATTTTGATGCTGATGTGCAGGCAATTTTTAAAATTTCAAATTAGTTTAAAATAGAGCGAACAAATCACTTCAAAAGTAGGGTTGCCAACATTTTCTAAGAAATTTATAGTACTTTTTCAAAAAAAATCAGAAAAAATATAGCACACTTCAAATATATATAGTATTTTTTTTTTAAGAAAAAGTAAAAATACTTTTTAAGTGTACATCATTTTTTCTTTCTTATGCATTTCCTCTATAAAAAAAAATTCTTTGAAAGTATTATATGCTTTATCGCTATCAATATTTAAATTAATATAAATCAAAGGTTAATTTTTTATTAGTGAGATATTCGCTTTATTTCTCTCATCTCACCATTTTAAAATCTTAATAGAAAAAACTCTTTCTGCGAATGCCAAAGTTGCAGGAATAGAGAGCATAAGCGAAATAATTTTAAGTAAATTTGGTAAATCTTTCTAAGTATTTTTAAAAATGTTGCCATTTTTGATCTGTTTGTTTTAAAGTATATTTATTTTAATATTGATATTTCAGTATAAATGTCATCCATTTTAAAACATTTCTGTCTTACAAATGACTGATATATATTTATATTAATAATTGAAGAAATATAGTATTTTTGCATACTATATTTTTTTCCAACAGTATATAGCACGTAGACCTAAAATATAGTACAATACTATATATTATAGTACGGTTGGCCACCCTGTTCAAAAGTGACACCAATACCGATACCTGATACATGTACATGGTTGGGTCGGAAATGCATCCTAAATGTATGCTTTAATATCGATGCTGAACAGCAGTTTAGGAATAAGATGTATGTATGTATGTACATGAAATAGTTTATTTTATCATTTCCTTGACTTTTATCCAGATCTTTATCTTCATCTACATATTCACCCACACCTTTGCTAATAACAGCTTAAAGAATAACACTTAGAAAAATACCAATAAAAGAATGAAAGTAAAGGTGTGTACGTTCATAGATAAAGAAAAGGATAAAGAGAAAGGTGAAAATAGAAACAAAAACAAAGATGCGTAAAGATAACAGCAAAAATGAATACCAAGTTAAATTGAAACACTTTACGTATATACATAAGGACAAAAGTGAAGGAAAATATGTAGAAAAAAATGAAAAACAAAGGTAAAAACAAAGATAAATATAAAGAGAAAGATAACGATTAGGATACCGATAAAAGTAAAGATACAGATAAAGGAAGAAAGATTTGATTAAAGGCAATTATAAAGAAAAGGATATAGATAGAGACGCAGAGACTCAATCTGGGAACTATTGCGGGAATTATTTTTATCGATTTTGTTGTCGATATTTTTATCGATATTAGGTTAGTTCCACAAGCTACTTGTAGAAAAACTCGAGCAAAGTTCAAACTGATATTGTATATCAAATAAACTCTAAAAGTTACTTGTGGAACGCGTATCGTCGCCTGGGTAAATATTGCCGTAAGCGCTATTTTGACGATTTTTGACAAATGGCGCTTACCCTTAAATTATTTAAGTTTTAATGTGTATCGTTAATTAGTTGTCAAAAATCGTCAAAATGGCGCTTACGTCAAAATTTTACTAAATGATATCCTTCATAAACTCAAAACTAATTACCAATAAACATTAAAAATTAAATAATTTAAGAGTTTTGTGAACTAGTTACATTTTCAGAGACTTTGGAGAAAATCTATCTTCGCGTTTTTGAGAAATTGTATTCCAAACTTCAATCGCGATTTCCCACAACCTACCGAAATTAACATACGACAATCTTTTACCCAGGCGACGGTATGTGTAACTCGAGGTGACTTCGAGTAGCTTGTGGAACAAACCTATTGTTTTAGATTTTTCTATCGAATTTGTTATCGATATATTTATCGGTATGTTATCGATGTTACTATCGATTTTGTTTTCGAAAAGGGTAGAGGTAGGGAACTAGATGAGAAAAAAACATACAAAATATAATCTTAAGCAAAAGCATACATATTTATGTACATATCGTCGCTACCATGTCAAACTATCGAATGTGAAAGTGGGTACTTTTCAGGAGAGCAAAGAAACTGTTGTAAAAAATTGTTGTCATTAGGAAAAAGTACGGAATTCGACCCTTTGTTAAAGCCGGTGTCCTCTGCTTCTAAGAAGACTCGAAATTTGACGATTTGCCAATCTGCGTATCAATCTTAGTGCATGCGCAAGGTATCTTAAGATTGAAAAAGCATTTTCGCACATTCCATAGTTTGACATGGTAGCGAAGATATGTGTTGTATTATGTTGTGATGTGTTGTGTTGTATTGTGTTCCATTTTGTTGTATTATTTTGTACTGTATTTTGTTATATAGTTTTGTGTTTTGTTGTGTTATATTATGTTATGTTATACTCTGTTATGTTATTCAATGCATTTCAGCTCAATTGACTTCAACTAACTTAATTAAAATCAATTCGGCTCAGCTCAGCCCATCTCAACTCTCCTTAGTTTTAGAGGTTGAATTTCAGCCCTGGGCGAACACTAGTTGTAATAACACTGGTTTACAAGGGTTTTGCGAATAAGACGGGACCTGGTGTTTCCGAACGGAT